CGCTCTGTCCCCACGCCGGCTGCCTCTCCAGATGAGACACTGGCCTTCTGCGTGGTGAGCCCCAGAGCTAATCAGCATTGCCCTGTTGGAGGGGTCACCCCCAGGGACACCCATCTGCAATGCGGCACTCACAAACGGGGTCCATGCAGGAAGGAAGGGGTTCCAACGTCCTCACAGGAGGCCCTGACTCCACTAAGAGGATAAATGTGCTGAATCTTTTCTGTTTAGTCCTTTGAGAGCAGGGTTTTCCAGCCTCTTCTTTCTACACACTAACCCCCCCTTATCCACCGAGACCAGGCCTGGGGGTTCATCCTGTGCTTCAAGTGGACGGTTCCCTCTCTGCAGCCCTCCGGTGCCCGCTTGGCCCTCCCCTGCCCCCTTTACAAGGCCTCAGCCGTCACAGGCTTGCTTTCTGCTATGTGAACGAAGACAGCATAGTGTCATGGTGAACGGGGCTTCCTCTCTGCTCAGACATGCTTGGGTTCAAATCCCGGCTCAGCGAGCTGCCTGATATATAGCCTTGGACCAGTTACTTAAACTTCATGTTCCTCAGTTTCCTTGTCTCTAAAATGGGGGTAACAAAATCTTCCTCAGTTTTGTAAGGATTAAAATAGAATTAATCCATACTGACCATTGAGCATCGGCAGTGAGAGGCCGCTCTGCACAGTGGCTGGGAGCTGGGCTCTGGAGCAGGCCTGGGATGGGCTGGGGCAGGATACTTGGTTTCTCTGTGTCTGTTTTCTCCTCTGTGGAACGGAATGGGTAACAGTAATTACATTACAAGGCTGAGGCAAAGATTGCATGTTTGTAAATTTCATTAAAGAGAGAGCTTGGCATGCTGTCTGCACATAGTCAGTGTTCAATAAATATTCACCACTTTTCTTTGTCATTTAGAAAAGAGATGGCTCACACCTGTAATCCCAGCACTTTGGGAAGCTGAGGTGGGCAGATCACCTGAGGTCAGGAGTTTGAGACCAGCCTGGTCAAGATACGTAGTAAAACCCCATCTCTACGAAAAATACAAAAATGAGCCGGGCATGGTGGTGGGTGACTGTAATCCAGCTACTTGGGAGGCTGATGCTGAGAATCACTGGAACCTGGGAGGCGGAGGTTGCAGTGAGACGAGATCATGGCACTGCACTCCAGCCTGCATGACAAGAGCGAAACTCCGACTCAAAAAAAAACAAACAAAAAAAGAAGGTACCAGGCCAGGCTCCGTGGCTCACGCCTGTATTCCTGGCGCTTTGGGAGGCCAAGGCAGGTGGATCGCTTGAGCTCAGGAGTCTGAGACCAGCTGGGGCAACATGGTGATATCCCATCTCTACAAAAAGTACAAAAATTAGCAGAGTGTGGTGGTTTGCACCTAAAGTCCCAGCTACCTGCGGGGCTGAGGCAGGAGGATGGCTTGAGCCCAGGAAGCAGAGGTTGCAGTGAGCCAAGATGGTGCCACTACACTCCAGTCTGGGTAACAGAGCTAGACCTGCTCTTTAAAAAAAAGCTACAAAAATATTCCAGAATGCATCGCAAAAATCTATGTTTAAAATAGTCAGCAAAAATCAAACCTGAACATACGTAAAGTTATTTTATAATGTCTAAAAGAGACATCAAAATTAATATTTTGGTGCCCTGAAAAAAAGAAAGGACATTCACAAAATGGGGGAAAAGAAACTGGCTGGGCACAGTGGCTCACATCTGTAATCCTAGCACTTTGGGAGGCTGGGGTGGGCGGATCACATGAAGTCAAGAGTTCAAGACCATCCTGGTTAACATGGTGAAACTCGTCTCTACTAAAAATATAAAAATTAGCAGGGTGTGGTGACACACACCTGACTTGTAATCCCAGCTACTCGGGAGGCTGAGGCAGCAGAATCGCTTGAACCCGGAAGGCAGAGGTTGCAGTGAGCCGAGATCATGCCACTGCACTCCAGCCTGGGCGACAGAGTGAGACTCCCTCTAAACAACAACAATAACAAAAACAAAATTGTGGACCACATGGAAACAAAATAAGAACAGGCCAACAAGACAACTCCTCATGCACGCATTGTAAACACTTCTCAAGGTATGCTGGCTTTTAGGAGTAAGATATGAAGTCCTACTATGTCCAATTAAAGCATTTCCATCCCATGGGCCTCTTCAGTTCCCCCCAGCCCATGCTGAATTGTATATCAAGAGTCAGACAATGGTCAAGTCAATGTGCTATTTTGGTTATACATTCGTCGGCATGGAATTTAGGGAAAGGCATAAAACACACAGAAAATTAGTTGCAGGGAAAGTGCATAGGAGCAGAGGTTACCGCTGTGGCCTCCGCTTTCCCTCCCCCACCCCCATCCATGACATTTGCAATTGCATGAGGCCTTGCAAAGAGGGCACCCACGTCGGCCCCTGTCAGTCTTGATTATACTTGGAAGAAGTGGTCAAATGACAGCCAGAGGGAGGATTACTTTGAAAAGTCAACCCTGATGGGCAAAGTGCCCAAGCTCCCCTCTGCGCTGTCTGCATGTCCTTCAAGCGTTGAAGAAGAGCCTGTAGGCATCATCTCCACCCATATGCAAAGCTACATGTTTGTTACCCACATCCAAAGCACGCTATGTGTTAATATCAGACTTGAAGAGCATGACAGCAGCCTTCATTCAAATATATGAAAGCCTCTTGTGTACCAGTCGCCCTTAAACAAAGGCGTTTTTTTTGAGACAGAGTCTCGCTCTGTCTCCCAGGCTGCAGTGCAATGGCATGATATGGCTCACTGCAACCTCTGCCTCCTGGTTTCAAGCGATTCTCCTGCCTCAGCCTCCCCGAGTAGCTGGGATTACAGGCATGCGCCATCAGGCCCAGCTAATTTTTGTATTTTCAGTGGAGATGGGGTTTCACCATGTTGACCAGGTTGGTGTCAAATTCCTGACCTCAAGTGGTCCACCTGCCTGAGCCTCCCAAAGTGCTGGAATTATAGGCATGAGCCCCTGGATCCAGCCAAACAAAGGATTTTTAAGGCCTCACATTGTCTGTCTGGTATTCTCTTTATTTCATAGAAGAGGAAATGAGATTAAAAAGATCAAAACTTGCCCAAAGTTACACAGCAACTGTAAGAATTAGCATGAGGGCTGGGTGTGGTGGCATATGCCTGTAATCCCAGCACTTTGGAAGGTCTTGGGTCCAGGAGTTGGAGACCAGCCTGAGCAACACAGTGAGACCCTGCCTCTACAAAGCAATTAAAAACTTAGCTGGGTGAGGTGGCACAAGCCCGTAGTCCTAGCTACTTGGGAGGTTGAGGCGGGAGGATCCTTTGAACCTAGGAGTTCAAGGTTCCAGTGAGTTATGATCATGCCTCTGCACTCTAGCCTGGATAACACAGTGAGACCTTGTCTCTAAAAAATGCAAATTAAAAATTAAACAAAAAACAGAGGATTACTATGTTTTGGAGATTGAACAGTGACCAAGATATACACAAGAGCTTCTGGCCTAGGAAAAGCTAGAGAGTTACGATCCACTGAGGTCCGTGCAATTTGAAGATGGTAAGGTGCATTCTGGGAGCTCAGAGCAGGACCACTACCTGGCATGGACGGGAGGGAGGACAGGGAAACTCTCGGAGGACGTGGCATGGAAAGGAAGAGGACTTAGCCAGGTGGAGGGCTGGGGGTGGTGGGTAGAGAATAACTGTCTTGGTCTTCTTTTTCTTGGCTTTTGACTTGGGAATGAGAACGTGATGCGTTCCAGGAAGGAGCAGCAGCTCAATGCTGGCAGGATCAGAGCACATGGAGAGAAAGGGAGTGTGTCCAGGGGAAAATGAGTCTCATGGTTCCTAACTAAGGAATTAGGACTTGATCCCAAGGCTAGAAAAGGTGTTAAGTAAGGCTTGGTAGTCACACTGTGTTTCTCACTCTGGACTTTGAGTCTCCCTTCAGGGCAGCCCCCACAGTACCACGACAAGCTTGCATAAAAGCATTTGAGAGGCCAGAGGCGAGCTCTTCTTGCTAATCCAGGAACCGATTTCGGTCTTCAGAGTTGTGCACTAGTTTGTCTAAGAACTGTGACTTGTTTGTGTAGGAGTGCCAAGGTAGACTCATTCTGGACCTGATACCTAGGATGGCTAAATGACACACATCTATAGGATAAATGAAGCATGAGGGATTTACAGTGTTTTAGAAGAAACTTTACACTAGCAGAAAATGTGAGTGTTGAGAAAAACACTAGGAGATGGTACACAAATATGCACATAGAAGGGCCTAGTAATATAAGTCTCTCCTTCCTATCTATCTATCTATCATCTATCATCGATCTATCTATCAATCATCTATCATCGATCTATCTATCTATCATCTGTCTATCTATTATCTACCTACCTACCTTTATGTTTCTCTATTATCTATCTTCTACCTATCTACCTTTTTCTGATTATCTATCATCTATCTATCTGTCTCCCTACCTACCTACCTTTAGCTGTCTCTGTCTCTGTCTTCTATCTACATACCTTTCTTTGTCTACCTACCTACCTATCTATTTTTATCTATTTGTCTGTTTGTCTACCTACCTACCTTTATCTATCTATCCGTTCATCTATCCATCTTCTACCGACCTTTGTCTATCATCTACCTACCTACCTATATCTATTTGTCTATCTATCTATCATCTATCATCTACCTACTTTTATCTGTTTGTCTATCAATCATCCCTGGGGAAATAAATCTATCTATCTATCTTCTATCTATCTATCTATCTATCTATCTATCTATCATCAATCAATCATCCCTGGGGAAACAGGATCTATCTATCTATCTATCTATCTACCTACCTACCTACCTATCTATCATCCATCTATCTACCTACCTACCTTTATTTGTCTGTCAATCAATTAATCAATCATCCCTGGGGAAATAGGATCAATCAATCAATCAGTCATCCCTGGCGAAAATAGGACCAGGAAGAAATTTTAATGAGCAAGTGCTGCTTTTATCATCAGAGACTATGTTAAAGATTTCTTACCCTACCCGAAGATACATGAACACTTATGCTTAAGAACAGAAATTTATTTCACACCACTGAAACTTCAAAAAATTATTACTGGCCTTCACCTGAGTGGTCTTTTGAGTTACACATAATTTAAACAGAGCTGAGGACTAGAAAAACAAAGCAACAAAAACCCAAAGGTACAGCTGTCAGTTAATATCAGCTTGTCCTTATCACATGCCATTTGCAAACCTGTACGTTCACTTTCAGCCTTGGTTCCTGTCTCCTTTAAAATAGTTTTCATAAGAACATCAACAATATGGAACAGGAAACTTGGTTACTCTTTCAAAATTAAGCTAGTCCAAAATAACATCATTTGTATGATAGGGAAGATGACATACGCAGGGTGTGCGCTCAGTGTTATAAGACAGTGTGTGGATATGTGGCTTAGTTAAGCCTTTCAAACAAAAGACTTCTTCCAGAGTTGTAGATTCATTGCTGGCTGCTTGGAAAATAGCGTTCGTGGTTTAGTTCCCAAATCTGAAGTCTTCCCTGCCAGGGGACATCCAGTGGAATGTCCTGCCACCTGGAGCCAGAGGTCGGGGTGTATGCGGGCCCAGGCCATCCTCCACTTGCTTCCTGACCTTTACATCTGTGTCTGTGAGTTGGCTTCTGACATGAAATATGGGTTACTCTTTCCCAGGCTCTTTTTCTTTTCGTCCTCATCAAATTGAGCTTCAATCTCTGCTGGATTGATGTAAGTATAGAATCGAGCCATGATGGCAAAAATTACACAGACGACCAGAAGCAACGCGGCAAATAGAACGTATTCAGCCCACTTTGAAGAAATCAGAGTTGTAGCAGGAAAAAGAACAAAAATAATACAGGTCATATTGATGAATATCTGGTGTGTACATTTTCTTGCTTATATGCCTATGGAGTGTGTTTTGAAATTAAATCATAGAAAATTGGTAGGCAACCAATACACATACAGTAAGGCCAGCTTTTCTTGAATGCCCAAGATAGATAGATGCTAACATAGACAACATGTTTTCAACAGCACTGGGGTACAGAAACAACAGACTTTGGGGGGATAAGAGAACATTTCTGAAAAACCCAAGCCTTAAGACATGGCTGGACTCTGGAAGGATGGAGATCCAGAGAACACCGAGCAGTACCCACGAGGGGAGATGAATGTGCTGAACTCCAGCAAGTTAAGAGCGCCATGTTCCCTCTTGGAAACACCTGCAGCTCACAAGCACACGACATTAGCACATCCGCTGATGGGACCTGGTGCAGGAAGTCATGAGATGGGCTAACGGCTCCCTTATGAGGTAGACATGTCACAGCACAGAAGGAAAGCGTTTAAGTAGCAGTAAAGCCCTCGTTTAATTTCAGCTGGAAAAATGATAACCGTCTCCAGGATGGGTTTAACTTCAGGTGAAAGTTAAAGTCTGAAAGTTGCAGGATGGCCGGGCGCGGTGGCTCACGCCTGTACTCCCAGCACTTCGGGAGGCCGAGGCAGGGGGATCATGAGGTTAGGAGATCGAGGCCATCCTGGCCATGGTGAAACCCCCTCTCTACTAAAATACAAAAAAATAGCCAGGCGTGGTGGTGTGTGCCTGTAGTCCTAACTACTCAGGAGGCTGAGGCAGGGGAATCACTTGAACCCAGGAAGTGGAGGTTGCAGTGAACCGAGATCGTGCCACTGCATTCCACCCTGGTGACAAAGTGAGACTCCATCTCAAAAAAAAAAAAAAAAAAAAGTTTCAGGATAACATGTGTCTGCTTTGCAGCTATTAAGCCACATTCACTGAAGCTAGGAGAAATGTTTCCCTTGATAGAAAACCACATAAGGGCGACTGCAAGTTAATCCATTCCAGCTATTTTGGTTGTCAATTTCCAGCTGCGTTAACACCAAGTGGAAACAAGCAGAATCAGCAGACACTTTGCCATAAGGTTATTTGCGAACAGTCCTGTCTGGCTGGTCTGGCGGTTGAATCCAGCCATTAGCCCAGATGACCACACAGACTAGACAGATGGCTAGGGAGGGCCACCACGATGCCCATGAATAGGAAGACAGAGGTATGCCAATCTCCTCTCCCACCCCGTACCTGTTTGCTGAACTGGCCGGCCCCCGCCACGATGAGCACGATGATGTTGCCGACAGCCACCGTCAGGAGCCATCCCGCCTGAAGCACGGACTTCATGTTGGAAGGAGCCTGAGGAAGCAAAGCAAAGTCAGTCCCACTCTAGGTCTCGCCCTCCGAGCAGGAGAACACAACTCACCAATGAGCATTTCGTTAAGCAGGCCACCCTAACAATGCACCTGAAAAATCAGGTGGCCTCAATGTGAAAAGGATCATCTCTTGGGTAACAAGACACCCAAACACGCACAGACGAGCAGACAGGAATCCTTGTGTTTCACGCTCCACATCCTTGCAAAGATGTGTTAATTACACGGGCACATCTACAGATGAGCTGATCCTGTTTCTACAGGAGAGCTTCCAAGCAAAGCCACCCAGCCTGGCACGGTCCCCCCTCAAACACAGGCTGCTCTCTGGGCTGCCAGCTTGCCCTTCTGTGGCTTTCCTGCCACATCTCCAAAATCTCTCTTCAAACACCTGTCACCTGTATCACAGTTATCTCCTTTATGAGACTGTGAGATTATCACAGAAAGGGATTTTCCAGCTCATCTTGGCCTCTTTACTATAAAAATGGGTGGTATGAGGCACATATGGTTATATGCCTGTAACTATAGTTTTGACAACACAGTTCAAAAATTCAGCTCTAACTTGGTTAATAAAACCTGACTAACACACTTAAAAGCAATACTTTTTAACTTTGTTTTTGAGACAGGGTCTTGCTCTGTTGCCCATGTTGGAGTGCAGTAGTGTCATCACAGCTCACTGCTGCCTCGGACTCCTGGGTTTAGGCAATCCTCTTGCCTCAGCCTCCCAAGCAGCTGGGACCACAAGCATCCTCTACCGTGCCCAGCTAATGTTCTTTATTTTTAAAGCTCTAGACCTTATTTGGTATGTTTACTGGGAGCTATAGAGATCTCAACCAAACCTATCATGAGGACACACATGTGTAATTGAGCTGTATTATGAATGATTGGTTACATTTGGTTGTTTCAGAATGGAGAATCTCCTGACCTTCATAACCCTGGTAGCAGTGAGTAATAAATAAGGACACTAAATGTCTAGTGTATGACTGTGAGGCTACAGACACATAGGAACACATGCTCTTGCAAAGCTGAACAGAGTAATAATTCTTTTTTTTTTTTTTTTTTTTTTGAGACAGAGTTTTGCTTTTGTTGCCCAGGCTAGAGTGCAATGGCGTGATCTCAGCTCACAACCTCTGCCCCTCTGGGTTCAAGAGATTCTCCTGTCTCAGCCTCCAGAGTAGCTTGGATTACAGGCACCTGCCTCCATGCCTGGCTACTTTTGGCATTTGTAGTAGAGATGACGTTTCACCCTGTTGGGTAAGATGGTCTTGAACTCCAGACCTCAGATGATCTACCCACCTCAGCCTCCCAAAGTGCTGGGATTACAGGCATGAGCCACTGTGCCTGGCCGGTAATAATTCTTTTTTTTTCTTTTCTGAGATGGAGTTTCACTCTTGTTGCTCAAACTAGACTAAAATGGTGAGATCTCAGCTTACTGCAACCTCCGCCTCCTGGGTTCAAGTGATTCTCCTGCCTCAGCCTCCCAAGCAGCTGGGATTACAGGCATGCACCAGCATGCCTGGAAAATTTTGTATTTTTAGTAGAGATGGGGTTTCTCCATGTTGGCCTGGCTGGTCTCAAACTCCCAACCTCAGGTGATCCGACCACCTTGGCCTCCCAAAGTGCTGGGATTACAGGCTTGAGCCACCTCGCCAGGCCCAGTAATAATTCTTATTTAGTAAAGACGACACTTGGTGATTTCAGAGACCTCACTCTATGGAAGATACCATAATGCTTTCTAGACTTTTTAAAAACTAAAAACACACAGTTATTCCAGATTTACATTAAGTCCTATCAGCATTTTCTGCAAGCAGGGGTACAGCAGATGGGTAGTAAATGCAACAAACAAGAAACCTGAGAATAGGAGAATTCCAGTCCCGTGACAGAGAAGACCACTTCGCCACAGGTGAGAAGAAAATACTGCGGGATTTGCAGAGCCATGTTAACCGTGTTGGCTGCAATATCTTCAAACATCTTCACTTCGGGGCAGCCGTCATTCTGAGGCAGTAAGGCAAAGGCAGAAGAAGAAATGAAAGTCAAGATCGCTTCTAAAATAAACATTGTTCAAACACGTAAACTGAGATTGACCTTGTAGGGTTACATCATGTGATTTATCAAGTACATACACACTTTAAATGTAAGGCAACACTGCATTTGACACTTGTGATGGATTTGAAGATAAGGTCACTAGCATTTTCCTTTTAGATAAAAGAGTAGGTTGGAAGTCATTTGAAAACACTGCCCTCTCTTTGAACTATGAGTTCCTTAAGTCCATGTTAATAGTCTACAAGGAAGCACCAGACATTGGTTAGTATAAACTGTCATCCAGGGGAAGTCAATCTGTTTAGATTCCTTCTATTGATTAAGTCAACAATAGTTAAAGAATTAGCCAAGTGAATTAATTCTAAGCCCATTTAAAATACAGATCCTAATATCACTCTAGTTCAATCATCAATGTGTTCTAAGTGTTTGGGAGCCTTCCTATCAATCAAGTTTGAGCAGACATCCTGATACAATGAAACGAGTTACTAACCTTCTTTTGGATTACATAGGTATAAGCACTTCCGAATTCAAGGTAGGGGGTATCGAAATTAGTTTGACACTGTGATGGAATCTCTGTTGAGTTTATTGTGTAGCCTTTTCTATCAAAAGAGAGAAAATATTGGTTAACATTCTTGGCATTAAAAGTTTCAATATATTTTTTAAAGAAAAATCCTTGAACTTCGGAGTGAAGCATTCAGTCTAGGTACTTACCTGCCAGAAGGAAAGAACTGATACTTGCTGGCATTATAGCTGCTGATATTTGCAAAAACTTTCCCACTCATGGTGATGGTGATGAGCTCATTATAAGTATTTACAAATCTGAAACAGAAAAACATCTGTCTTGTAACTGAACTGCAGAATAATACATCCTAGGTCACAGTGCATGCACTTGAAGTTAAGCAATACTCCCTATTTTGGGGAAGTTTAAAATGTTTCCAGAAGATTTCTAGAGAATAAAGACAGAAAGTGAACAACCTTAGGTTTATCCTGCTCACCCACTCATAAGAACACACGTAAAAGAATGTATTTAACAGAGTGTTTATATGTGCTAAGTACTACTCTAAGTATTTTGTAAATCCAACCTAGTTCAATATGTTAGGATATTAAGCAGGGCCTGAAGTAGGTACTGGCCTCTTCCCTTCAAGAAGATAGCCATGCCCTTGTATTCCTCGCTTCAAAAACTTTATTTATTTATTTATTTTTGAGAGAGAGTCTCTCTCTGTCACCCAGGCTGGAGTACAGTGGTGGGATCTTGGCTCACTGCAACCTCTGCCTTCTGGGTTCAAGCAATTCTCCTGCCTCAGCCTCCTGAGTAGTTGGGATTACAGGCATGTGCCACCATGCCCACCTCATTTTTGTGTTTTTAGTAGAGACAAGGTTTCACCATGTTGGCCAGGCTGGTTTCGAACTCCTGACCTCAGGTGATCCACCTGCCTCAGCCTCTTAAAGTGCTGGGATTACAGGTATAAGCCACCGTGCCCAGCCAGAAACTTTAGAGCTCGAGGAGTTAAAGACCAAAACCAGATGCTGCCTAGTTCCTAAAAGAAAGACATCCCCTTTCTCTGGGGGATTGAGGAGGAAAGCCCACCTACTTCCTACATCTAGGATCCTCAGGTAGGGAAGGGCGCCTGGGATTAGAGAGGAAGAAAGGGGCCAACCCAGTAACAAGAGACATTGTTTTAGCCTTTTTTAGAGATGAGGTCTTGCTCTGTTGCCCAAGCTAGAGTGCAGTGATACAATGATAGTTCAATCCAGCCTCGAACTCTTGGTCTAAAGTGATCCTCCCACCTTAGCCTCCTGAGTAGCTGAGACTACAGGTATGTGCCACCATGCCTGGCTGATTTTTATTTTTGTAGAGATGAGGGTCTTGCTGTGTTGTCCAGGCTAGTCTCAAGCTCCTGGCCTCGAGGTAGCCTCCCTCCTCAGCCTCCCAAAGCACTGGGATTATGGGTATGAGTCACTACACTTGGCTTAGAGATAGCTTTAAGGAATCCCCTCAGAGGGTGGAGGCCTGTGTGGTCCTGGAGTGACAGTGGTCGGCATCCTGCTACAATACAGGTTTGAACGGAATACCCAATAAGACTGGCTTCCAGGCCCAAGGCTTCCTGTCTCTACAAAGTCCCATGAGGCTATGCTTCATACAAAAGCATGTGAGTTGTTTGCCTTGGACCATACGGAGGGGGAACAGCACGGATGGCTGATGACAGACCCCTTCCATGGCTGTTCCAGGCTACAGACGGCCCTGGAACTCTCTTACAACCCTAGTGACCAGGCGGGTGCTGCCCAAAACAAGACCAGTTGATTTTTTTCCTGCCAAACGTGTTGAGTGAAGACCTATGGCGGAGTGTCCAGTGCAAAGAACAGTAAGTCACACTAGTGTACACCTCAGCAGCGTAAGGAACAAGTTCACCTTTCCATCCCTCAAATAGGAGGCCAAGTTTATCAGCTCTGTGGCAATAAATAATACTGGTCAAACTCTAGGTGCTGGGAGAAAATTTCTATGAATTAAACTCAGGTCCTGAAGTCCTGAGGCCTTCTACTTGGTGTCATTTGACAGGAGATTCATATAGAAAATGGAGCCTGAGACAGATCCACATGCGGCTTAGCTAGAGTTCACACTGCTCTAGGCTGTAAGAGCTGCTTTTATCAAAGATGAAGATCATCCACACGAAAGAGAGAGTGGGCAGAGTATGAGTCTAGGAAGCAGACCTTTGGGGCTGAGGCCTGGCTTTATAAGTTATCAGCCACAGACTCGGAATGAAACCCATCCCTAAGGCCAGAGGATGACGAGCTGCCTGGCATATGTCTTAGGGCTGATGCAACAAGAAATGAAAACATGGCTGGGCGTGGTGGCTCACATCTGTAATCCCAGCACTACGGGAGGCCCAGGTGGGTGGATCATGAGGTCAGGAGTTCAAGACCAGCCTGGCCAACATAGTGAAACCCTGTCTCTACTAAAAATACAAAACATTAGCTGGGTGTGAGGTTGTGTGCGCCTGTCATCCTAGCTACTCAGGAGGCTGAGGCAGGAGAATTGCATGAACCCAGCGGGCGGAGGTTGCAGTGAGCTGAGATTGTGCCATCGCACTTCAGCCTGAGTGATAGTGCGAGACTCAGTCTCGCCAAAAAAAAAAAAAAAAAGGAAAACACAGTCAGGAGTCACTTGATGGGGACCAGTTCTGTTGAGAAATGCGTCAGGAGGTGACTCTGTGGTGATGGGAACTTCATAGTGGACACTTACACACACACAGACAGTGCAGGCTTTACACGCCTCGGCACGGAACGCTGGAGGCAACTGTGACACAGTGGTAAGGATGTGCGCATCTGAACATGTCTCAACATTCCCACTCTTTCCTCCCCGGACCTCTGGTAGCCTCGCATCTGCTTTCTGTCTCTAGGGCTCTGCCTGCCGCTTCATTTCAATGGAGTCATTCAGTGCAGGTCTCTGTGACCAGCTTCTCTCTTAGCATACTGACGTTCACATTCGTTCATATTGTGGCATGTATCTGTGCTTCATTCCTTTTTATGACTAACATTCCATCGTATGGATAGACCACATATTCTCAGCTGATGGGCACTGGATTTGTTTGCATGTTTTGTCTATTGTGAGTAATGTTGCAATGAACGTAAATGCACAAGTTTTTGTGTGGACATGTTCTCATCTCTTCTGGGTGACAACTCACATATCACATTTGGCAGGCTTCCAAATTAACCACCTGGGGAAGGTCTCACAACGCATGGCTTATATCCTGTCCCTGAGTAAACAGTCTTATCATGAGTTCCTCCAATCTTACCATGTTGATGTACTGATTAATACATAACTCACTAATACTGAAAAGGACGCTGATTTGCTTCTGAGTCACAGTGTTTTACTGATTGTCCTGTGCCAAAACATTTTAGCCCGTATGCTGTCTCCTGTATCCAGTGATCCTAACTTCTGTATTATAACCTCCAATGAAAATGGAAAGCTCTAATTTGAGGAGGCTCCTTCTCTTAATACCTTTTTTTTCTGTCTTTTAAGATAGGGCCTCACTCTGTCACCCAGGCTGGAGTGCAGCGGTGCAATCATGGCTCACTGCAGCCTTGAACTCCTGGGCTTAAGCAATCCTCTCACCTCAGCCTCCTAAGTAGTTAGGACTGCAGGAGTGCCTGGCTCATTTTTTAATTCTTATTTTTGTAGAGAGGGAGTTTCGTTTTATTGCCCAGGTTGGTCTCGAACTCCTGGCCTCAAGTGATTCTCCTGCCTCCACCTTCCAAAGTGCTGGGATTACAGGCGTGAGCCACCACACCCAGCCTTCCTAAACCTTCCTGTAAGAGCCTTCCAACTCTCAGTAGACTCTGGGACATGCCCTACTTTGCTGGTGTCTCTTTCCAGGTTGATCCTCACATTTGGCTTCCAATAAATCAAATTACTTCTGCCTCAACAGTCTTAACTTTGGTCAACATGGTTATATACTTAGGAGTGAAACTGCTGAGTTATAGAGTAAAACTCTATGTTTAGCATTTCAAAGAACTGTTTTTCAAGGTGGCTGTACCATTTTAGATTTCCACCAGCAGTGAATAAGGGTTCTAATTTTTTTTTTTTTTTTTTTTTTTTTTTTTTTTTGAGACAGAGTCTCACTGTGTTGCCCAGGCTGGAGTACAGTGGCACCATCATGGCTCACAGCAGCCTCAACCTCCCGGGACTCAGGTGATCCTCCCACCTGTTTCTTGAGTAGCTGGGACACACCAACACACCTGGCTAATTTTTGTAATTTTTTGGTAGGGACAGGGTTTTGCCATATTGCTCAGGCTGGTCTTGAACTCCTGGGTTCAAGCAATCAGCCGGCTTCGGCCTCCCAAAGTGCTGGGATTACAGGCATGAGCCACTGTGCCCAGCCAAGGCTTCCAGTTTAACCACATCCTTAACAACACTTGTTATTGTCTATCTTTTTTTTTTTTTTTTTTGAGATGGAGTTTCACTCTTGTTGCCCTGGCTGGAGTGCCATGGCATAGTCTCAGCTCACTGCAACATCTGCCTTCCAGGTTCAAGTGATTCTCCTGCCTCAGCCTCCTGAGTAGCTGGGATTACAGGCACCTGCCACCATGTCCAGCTAATTTTTGTATTTTTAATAGAGATGGCGTATTTTAGTTTCACCATGTTGGCCAGGCTGATCTCAAACTCCTGGCCTCAGGTGATCGGCCCAACTTGGCCTCCCAGTGCTGGGGTCACAGGTGTGAGCCACCATGCCCGGCCCACTGTCTACCTTTTTGCTCAGAACCTAGAAGGTATGCAGTGGTATCTCATCATGGTTTTAACTCACATTTCCCTAAACACTAACAACTTTGAGCATGTTTTCATGTGCTTGTTGGCCATTTGGATATCTTCTTTGAAGAAATATCTATTCAAATTCTGTGCCCATTTTAAAAATTGGGTTGTCTTTTTAGTACTGAGTTGTGAGAGTTCTTTATATATTCTGTCCCTTATCAGATATATGATTTGTAAGTATTTTATCTCATTCTGTGGGTTGTTCTTTCAATTCTTGATGACATCTTTTGCAGGACAAAAGTTTTCAATTTTTATAAAGCCCAAGTCATTTTTTCCTTTTGTCTCTTGTGTTTTGGTCTTCTATAAATTTCATTGTTTTGGTTATGTGAAAGAAAGTAGAACTTCAGGACCCCAAAGTCACTATGTCAAAGAGAAAGCCAAGCTTTGGAACAGCCACACAATACTGGCTTCCTTCTGTTCTCAGATGGCTGTAATTTTACAACCCTGAGTCACAGCCTCACGGTAAGCCAGCTTCCCACAGTGACAGAAGACCAGGCATCTCCCCAGGGGG